TGTCACCTCTGTTGAAGGTTATTGTACTTTTTCTGCTGGCTTATCTTGCTAATGTATTCTGCTTATGATATCAATGATTTAGATGAGTTGGATTATGGTGAGGATATGGGTACCAACGACTTTGTGGGGACTGAGTCTGGTTCTGTCCAGGGAAATGACTTCCCTCCCTCCACAGATAGCTTTCACTCCTTCCTCTACATAAAAAGGTATCAATAATTTTTTCATATAGTTTGATATTACCAAATGTGTTTATATGCTTGCTGTGCTTGTTGCTGTGCGAGCAGTGCAGGTTGCTTAGCATACCAGTGTCGTGGAGAAGCTCGAGAAGTGCGAAGACTACAGAGTGGCGAGGCCAGGTGATTACAATGGAGTTTCACGACTCACGTGAAGTGGTAAAAAACGCGATTTTATTCGCGGTGATATGCATCAGTAGTCGTGAAATATATTTTTAATATCACTAGGGTGAAAATTCTTTTTTTTCGAATGTATTATAATGTAGTTTCACCACCCTAGTGATATGAAAAACACTCGTGAAAAATATATTTCACGACTAATAAAATGGCGTTTTTCACCACTTCACGTAAAACGGGTAGTCGTGAAACTCCACTAATTTTCTACCACAAAATCGCAAAATTGCCGCGGAAATCAACAGTATAAAAATATAACTTCGCATTCTCAAGATATTACTATCCATATTCATAATATTAAATTTTATTATTATTTACTTTTTTCAGGCGACTTGAATTTCCTCCCGAGAGTTTTTCACCGCCGTCCGAACCTCTTTTAGGAGGTGATGTTGAGCAAGATTATAAACAGTATGAAAATGCAGTTTTTGTGAAAACAGCAGCAAACGATGACGATTCTGCATTGAAAATTTGGTAATAAATTACGATAGGGTCATCAGTGTTTGTGGAGTAGGAATATATGTAATCGCTTTCCTCAGCACCTGAGCTCGGGAGTTTCCTATACAGTGTTGGAGTAGGAATATATGTAATCGCTTTCCTCAGCACCTGAGCTCAGGAGTTTCCTATACAGTGTTGGAGTAGGAATATATGTAATCGCTTTCCTCAGCAGCTGAGCTCAGGAGTTTCCTATACAGTGTTGGAGTAGGAATATATGTAATCGCTTTCCTCAGCACCTGAGCTCAGGAGTTTCCTATACAGTGTTGGAGTAGGAATATATGTAATCGCTTTCCTCAGCACCTGAGCTCAGGAGTTTCCTATACAGTGTTGGAGTAGGAATATATGTAATCGCTTTCCTCAGCACCTGAGCTCAGGAGTTTCCTATACAGTGTTGGAGTAGGAATATATGTAATCGCTTTCCTCAGCACCTGAGCTCAGGAGTTTCCTATACAGTGTTGGAGTAGGAATATATGTAATCGCTTTCCCCACCAAAAAATTTACAAGGAATTCAAAAAATATTATTTTTGATTTTCCACATAGTGAGGAATTCATGCGTGAATTTCGACGGTTTTTCTTTGTAAAATTATTCTTTATTTTTTCTGCGATTTCCATTTCTTGGCAAATTATGTTCATCAAAATTGTAAAATGATTAATATTCGATTCTGGGTGGACAGAATTTTGAAAAAAATTTTTTGATATACGAAATTATCGGAGTTTCACGACGCGTAGTAAAAAACGCGATTTTATTCGCGGTGACATGCAGTAGTCGTGAAATATAATTTTCCATTAGGGTGGTGAAATTCCAATATATTTTTTCATTTATCGCAGGTATAAGGCATATTGTCCAGAAACCGAGGCGAATATTACATGTATTATCGTTATGTTTCATCCGTATAAAAGCAGTTCGGAATTCCTTGTTATCAATCATGCAAGGTTAGCAGCTGGCTGAACCTATTCCGAATCATCATCATCGCTTTCTCAGGTGTCTTCGTCACTTTGAAAAAGCAGCTGTTATAGTCTTCGACCAACCCGGCTGTGGTCGCAGTGATAGCATGTGGGGGTAAAATGATTTTCTCATTATTATTATCATTATTGGAGTTGCACGTGAAGTGGTGAAAAATCCGATCGTATTTGCGGTGATATGTAGTAGTCGTAAAATATGTTTTTCATATCACTAGGGTGGTGAAACGCCATTATTATTATGATCATTTAATTTTTTTCTTAGATTCATGCCATCTTGGGAAAAGCATGTGGCAGTGTGTGAATCGTTTATAAGAAAAGTAATAATACATTTAAATGGAGTGTTGGAAAATATGCAATTTTTTCAATGGCATGTATATGTGAAATTTTTGGGAAATTTGAGGAAATTAGTTTCATTGGTTTCTACCCGAATTCGTGTGTAAACTCTTTTACAAAGCCAGAAAATTCCTGAGCTCGGGTGCTGAGGAAAGCAAACATAGATTCTCATAGACTCTAATAAAATGGGAATTATTTTCAGTGGGATCATAAATTTCTGGAAAATAGCAAAAATTACTATCATGAAGTTTTGTCTGCATGCAGTTGGTATATTTTATTTGTTAATTTTTATGGGTATTTTCTCGGAGATATTTAATATCACCATCATATTGGCAGATTTTCGGAATTTCCCGGAATTTTTACGGAAAATGTATCTTTTTTGCCAGACTGATTTTCCTATTTTCCTGAAATTTTTAGGGAAAAATATTTGATTTTTTGCCAAATTAATTTTTGTATTTTCCTGAAATTTTAACGGAAAATATTTATTTTTCCGAAACTCATTTCTTGAGTTTTTCAAACAAAAGCTTTTTCGGTCGAATTTTCCCCAATTTTCCATCAATAATTTCAGGTTGTTATCGCCCTACGAGATAAGGTGTCCACTGAGCAGTGCCGCCCTGTCCCTGTATATGGTTTTGGAGAAGCACTAGGCGCTAACGTTCTCATTAGCTCAGCTCTGAAATCGTGAGTTTTATTGGAGTTTTACGTGAAGTGGCGTAATATTTCATGTAAAGTATAGGATGTATATATGCAATTGTTTTTCATATTATTTTTCACTATTTTTTCACTATTTTTCACTATTTTTTCACTATTTTTTCACTATTCTTTCACTATTTTTTCCACTATTTTTTCACTTTTTTTTCATATCACTAGGGCGAATCTTTAATACTCATTATTCAATTAGTTTTACGCGTTTTTCACGAAGTGAAATGTGAAATTTGTTTTTCACTAGTGTTTTTCATATCACTAGGGTGGTGAAACTCCGATGAACAATTCACATTTACTACATATCACATGAAAAACTCATCACGTGTTTTACGCGTTATCCACTACTTACATGCGTATTTTTTTCGTGAAGTGAAATATGTTTTTTTTTCACTTTTTCACGAGTAAAACTCCATACCACCTCAGGCCGGACTTATACAACGGTATTATCCTGGCCGGTCCCTTCGTGCGTGACGGGGACGCAGTGAAAGCTGGTGGAGTCGCAAGTAAGTTAGTAGTTGTGCATGCGTGCTGGGAAAATATCTTTTGAAATCTTCACTGTGCGTGCGCAGAAGATTCCTCGGAATTTTCGACATTGTTTAGCATTGTGTGTTGGATGTTAAGAAAAGAATCACAAAATGGTTCCAACTCTGAATCGGTGTTTTGTTGGTAGATTCTTGATACCGTAAATTGAGAAACTTTTCGACTTTTTCGACTTTTTTTCGACTTTTTTGTGATTTTTCGACGCGATTATCAGTAGGAAAGTTTGAATCTCTCCGAAGATTATTTGAATTATTGTGGATATCAACGTAGATCTCCCATAATTTCGAATAATTCGAAACTTTCCTCATTTTTTTCCTGAAAATCGTAAAAAATTGAAAAAAATTGAAAAAAAATCGTAAAAAGTTCAAAAATCTTCGAAAAATTGCTAAAATTGTGGTATTAAAAATCGACTACTCTTTTAAGTTTCAACAAGAATCAGAAATTTTTGAATTTAAATTTTACCGCTTCTCACCGTCCTAGTGGTTTTTACTATTTTTTATCAGATTTCCTCGCAAAATGCGAAGGTCCGTTGATGCCGAAGTACCCCGGAGCTCCACTGAAAGACGGTCTCGATGAATCTTTTGTGGATAGAGATTTCGCAGATTTTACTCGTGAGTGGTTACAAATGTTAAATAATTTATAAAATTTTCGTAATTCTGATGTAATTTTTTTCATGAAAATGCACTCAAACTTTTACTCATTTTTATCAATTTCTTCTCAGAATTTTCACCAGCGTCACCTATACATGTAGTTGAGCATATGCATATTTTCGCGCACCGAAATAATGAAAAAAGTCTGATTTTTCACCAGGATCGGAAAATAAGTTGCTTTGGCGGTTGCCTTTGCGTATGAAAACGCACAAGTCGATAAAAGAGGGGCAAGAGGCTATCGAAGGTCACGCAGCTGAGTTAACAACGCCAGTGCTAGTAAGGTCGATTTACATGGGGAGTCGGGTTGGTTTTTCCACATGGACGATTACTCCTTTTAGTGATAAAATTATGTTATTGTTTTAGATTTTGCAAGCGGAAAATGATAAGGTATCTTCCGTAGACGGTTCGAGATTACTCTATGATCTTTGTGGTAGCAAAGATAAATGCATTAAAGTCTATAAGGACTGTCCAGAGGCCGGATTGAAGTAAGAAAAATGCACCCGGTGGGGATCGATCTCGGGACCTCCGGCATGAGAGTGTCTGGTCAGGTATGCTCACGAACTGCTCAGTGCTGAGCCTTCTGAAATGGCCAAGCTTGTATATGATGATATAACAACTTGGATTAGTGCAAGAAAGACTTCCACTAAAGCTGTTGAGAGCAGTCAGGCCCCTTCGACGGCTGCAGTGTCACCCGCTTCGCGAAGTTGATACAGATGATTATGATGATAAAGTTATTGATCACCAATTCAATTGAATTTACTTTACAATGGCTTCTTCATCGAATTCATCATCTTGATAAGTTACCGTTCCTCACTTTATACTGTTACTTATCTGACCAGGTTTTGTCGGAAAAAGATAGCGGCTTTGAGTTAATCTCAGTGGTGTGGGGGAGACCTCGGTAAAAATACAAAAATAGTTTGAATAACAGCGGAAACGGAATGTGTGTTGGAAGAGTCAATTAAAACTGACCTTTTGGGAGCACCGCGACGGCAGACTGACTCCAGCGGAGCAGGTTGGGAATATTGCATTCCATGTGGGTTAATCGCTCCGAGTGGTCGTAGAAATTTGTAAGAAAGTTTTTGTACGTGAAGTCTCGGGTGGTTCTATTAGGAAAAAATTTACTAGAGATGATCTCCACGTGGTGAGGTTAGCCTTCCCAAGATGAACTTTTTGAGTCAAAAAAAGCCCCCCCTTGGTCATTTGGAGCGACTGCGCAAAAGTCCAGCACCGACAACACGGCTTAGTGCATACTAGCTTATGCGGAATCAACTTTCATTCTATCAAATTGACAATTTAATAGATTTTAAGTATCATATTATTTGATAGTATTAACATTGAATAGTATGTTATTCGTAACTCCGAGAAATGTTGTCTACAGTGTAGAGAAAGTACTGCGTGTTCTCATGCCTCGATTACTTCAACACGAAGAACCTTTGCATATGCGTGCAACTGGATGAAGATACAATATGTAGTATACCGTTTTTAGATCTCAACAACATCATCATCATCATGCTCAATAACTAATACAAAATAAAGCGCGTATACATTCTGCGTTCGCGTGCAGTGCACGCATGAACAAAAGTTTATATATTCACATAATTATCAAATTGATGAGTTCGAGACCACTACAAAGCGGATCCTGCCGATTGGAAAGGAAGTACATTGGGAGAGCTTATCTCGCCTTGTGGACAAAATTCATTGGAGTTTCACCCGTGAAGTGAAAGACACATTTCACATTTCACTTCGCGAAAAACGCATGTGGGCAGTGAATTTCGCGTAAAACATGTGAGGTGTTTTTCAGGTGATAATATCACCGTGATATGCAAAACGCGAAATTACAGTATTTCGCGTTTTGCGCGAAATACGCATATTTGGGATCATTATGCATACAGTCTCAAACCTTGCACTGGCTATAAATCAACACTTCAAATATCCTAGGGAAACCTGTCTCTAATTTGCCACCCCAATCCCAGTTAGTTGATGGTACAGAAAATCAAAATTTATCAAGACCGCTACCATCATCACTCCCATCACTCTCATCATCACTCCGTGCGCCATCGGAAGACTCGACTTGGCTGCCGCCGTCACCATCTCCATGAACACTTGTTCCCCTCCGGCTATCTTCAGAGATCCGCACCAATAGAGCCTCTATGCGCATTGCGCTGCCAGCCAGCAGCGTCAAAGCGTCAGCCGTTCTGGTTTGGGCGGCCAGTAACTCTCTGCCGAGCTCTCTGGAGTCCTGAGCAAGGCAAGCCAGACGCTCATCCAGTCGCTTGAACCAATACGACTGGGATGATGAAACAGCGTTCGCGAGTGATGAGGTAGCAGCCGAAGATGAGGAGGAAGGCGGTGAAAGTGTTGGGAGAGGAGGCAAGACCGTGGACGTCGTCGACTGATGGGGCAATCGCCCGAGATCTTCGTCGAGGTCGTAGCCAAACAAGTGGATAAGACGGTCCACCAAGGCACCCTTCTCATAGTTGAACCTCTCGGCCACCTTCCTCACGTCTTGGCACATCGCCCTCATCATGCTGCTTTTCTGCCTCTTCCTCTCATTGACATCAGCAGCTGGAGCCTTATGACCTAGGTGGAGTATCGCATCATACTTGGTGGCAGACTCCGACCAACTAACAACATACGCATACTACGGGAGGGGGTTCCATAATGCTTACTGCGTCTTGTAACTCTCCGCTTTCCATGCCGCTAGTGCAGCGACATGGCGACGTTGTATGTCTTGGTTCACATGAGTCAACTGTAGATCTTCTCCCGAGAAGGGTAGGTTGGCAGTGAGGAGATTGGTTATCGGCATGGTAACTTATGAAAAGCTCCTACGGGGGATCATGGAGCTCTATCCTTGTTGATGATCCCGAACCAATCATGGAAAATGAACGAGTATTTGGATATCCCTGCATCGACAAGGATATCCAATAGGTATCCCCGGACCGACAAGGATATCCAATAGGTATCCCCACACCGACGGGTGAAAAAACCCGGGGACGTGGGGCAGATTGACACATGAAAGTATCGTATTAGGATGATTAGTTAAGTAGGTTATGCTACCAAGCTATTCTTCGAGAGGTCCCCGTTTCGTACCCCGTTCAGCTCTCGCCCACAATCCCTCACAGAGGGGTCCGTAAGGCTGGTTGCTACATATGGCTGTTGACGGGATGATGATCATGATCATCCCACGAGGCCCCAACGTGTAAGTGCCAGTAGTAAGACGGATCCCGCGAGTGAGGTGACTCCATAGAGTGAAGTGTGGGTGGACAGCTGGCAGTGGCATGAAGAGGACTTATAATAATTTTACTGCGAGATGGGAGGTTTTTCGCGTTTTTTCCCGTGTAAAACGCCGATTACTCGGAGTTTTTCGCGTTTGTCGCGAAATGCCGGAAATGTTTTACGTGAAATGTGGTGATTTGTCTGGTGTAATTCGCGAAATGTTTTCAATTCACTTCACATCGCGAATATCACGTTTTTCACGTGGAGTATTACGCCACTTCGCGTAAAACGGGTGAAACTCCATTGGCATGATGAAAGTAGACGCAATTTAAACGGCTGAAACTGATCACTCGAGAGTTGATGTGCAGCGATGCGAGTCTGACTAAGCCGTGTTGGGCTATAAACTCACACATATACCACTAGTATGAACTCAACAATCACATATTCAACAACATCATAACAACAACGACAACCATAGTAATAATACTAATCATGAACAACATCATTTCTCAGTTAAAGCACGATAACCCTTCCAACTCCTCGGCGGTGTACACCCATAAGATTGTATAAACTTCAATAGAACCACGCTCGGCCCGTCTTCATAACCAAGAGCGTCTTTAGTCTCATTTAAAATCTTTGCCGCTTTTTCCCACTCCCCGGCTTCGTAATTTTTATACGCCTTAGCAAATTTCGTCAAAAATTCTTCCGTGAAAATTTTTCGGACCAAAATCAGGTCTTCGTCTTCTTCCCATAAATTTGCAACAACAAAATTTTCATCCCATTTTTTCGCTTTCCTTGTTTCTCGAATTTGTCGCAATTTCGACTTTTTTATTAGCCTGTTATTAATCCCAAAAAATGACGGCGTTGCAAATGCCCCCGAAATACTCCCAGTCCTCTTTCGAGTGGCACTTCTTGTTTTCTTTCTTTTCATAATATCCATAATCCTCACATTATAATCTACTAAACTGCCATTACTACTTACAAACGAACCAAATCTTCCCAAAGTGAAGTCGCCGAAATTGCTCCTTGCAAGGCTGCTAGATCGCGAGATGGCATTTCTCAAGTTCGCATCCATTTTTTCAATATCAGCCACCTCCAATGATTGAACATCAACATCAACCGCGTACAGTCTGACCGGAACTTTCGAACCCTTCACCATAACATTATCAATAACCCTGCCATATTTCCTCATATTTTCCGAACACATATTTCTAATCAGAGCCTCTGAACATAAAATATTCGTCCCGTACTGTTTCGTCGCAGCTGCCAATCTGCTAGCCATATTCACATTAGGTGATAAATAACTCGCGTCAATTTTAAACTTTGAACCAATCGCGCCTTCGATCGCCCATCCAACATGCAAGCCAAAACCCATACTAACCTTATACGCTTCTCCCAGCCTTCCGACTAGTCCCGGATGATTCCGATACTCTCCCAATACTGGTGATTTATTTATCGCTACCAAAATTTTCACGAATGCCATCACCGACATATCGGCTAATTTTTGTCGTTTTTTTGCAATTTCCGCATCCATCTCTTCCACTTCAGAGTTCGGTAGTCGCCAAACCATAAGGAATGCTTCTCCTAAATTCCTATTCGCAACTCCGTGAAAATCATCAACTATACCGTGTACGATCTCCCCAATCTGAGTCGAATTGCAGCGGTGCTTTTCGTCAAGATTTTTTATGCAACCATAACATTATCTTTTAAATGTACTACCCAAATTCAAGAAAATTACTCAAAAAATTCCTAAATTTTGCCAAAATTGCGAAAAGTTCAAAAAACTTGATATAAAGAATCCCCAAAAATTCAAAAAATCCACTGCTTTTGATTTAGTTCTAAACCCGTTTCCTTCCCCAATACGAAAAAAACACAAAAAAAATTTCCGCAAAAACTCTCACCAAAAATCATACCCAAATTTTCTTACTACCTGATTCACAAATATCATTATATCATCTTGCAGCACCTCAGTGGCGATATTAAATTGCCGTATATCGCAAAAACCCAGAATTGCTTCTACACGCGATCCGGCCACCATAGGGTTAACAGCTGCTGAACCACCTGAACGATGAAAAAAATCGAAAATTCACAAAATTTCACCCGTTTTACGTGAAGTGGTGAAAAAGCGATTTTATTCGCGGTGACATGCAGTAGTCGTGAAATATATTTTTCACTAGTGTTTTTCATATCACTAGGGTGGTGAAACTCCGACAATTTTCCATCGAGCAAATTCCGGTCGAATTTGTTCAACGCTTCAAAACGTGATTTGTTATCCACATATCACGTAAAACGCGACAATATTACGCTTAAAAATTGTAGACTGTATTCACTTGGTTATTTTTAATAACGTCAGTATTAACCTTAGTATTTTGGTGAGCTCATTGTCCTTGAAAATTTAGAAACATATCGCCTCAGAAAATTGAAATTTCACGTCAAAATCTACTCCTACTCCATCGCGTATTACCTCGTATGTTATGGCTAATCACTTCAGCGCCCGCCTCCCCAAATCCCACTGCTAGAAGTCCGCCGATTTTGATAATCGTTTTTTCCAATATAACAGTTTCAAGTGGCTCCACTCTGAAAAATTAACACTAATTTTTCATGTAGGAATATTGGAGTTTCACCACCCTAGAGAAAAACATATTTCACGACTACTGCATATCACCGCGAATAAAATCGCGTTTTACGCCACTTCACGTAAAACGGGTAGTCGTGAAACTCCATTATCTCAATTTTGAATCATTAATATTCACGCACGATTTTGCGTAAAAATACACAAAAATTTCTTTGGGAATTTCTTCACTATTCTCACGCGTATTTACTTTTCTCATTTCTATTCTTCTCCGAAACCCACTGTATTTATCAGTATAGGAAAATATGCACATGTTGGCGACAGTTGTGAAAATTCTCATAAAAATTTACGGAAATTCTCACTACATTTTTATACAAACTCCTACAACTATTGAGAAAACTCTTGAGCTCAGCTGAGAAAAAAAACCAGACATATTTTTTTCTACAGCAGACATACTTCTCCGGAATAGGTAGTAGGCAGTATAGGAGTATCGCAACGAACTCAACAGCCACTCCGAAATGAGCGGCCACATTCTCGCACACAACACAAAATACGCAGAGTGATGAAATAAAATATCTGTAACTTCTACTAAGAATTACCGAAAAAAAGCTCTTCAAATTCAGAAAACCCAAATATATATATTTCCCCAGCTATTATTACTTTCCACCGTTTTTATTATATAACTTCATCATTTTCCTTTTTACTCTCCAACGTGTCACCGGATTTTTCGCATTCGAAATTTCCATTTTTAACTTCATTTTTTCCGCCAATTCTTGTTTATGCTCATCCTCTTCCAGTTTCGTCGCGTACAGAGGATTCCTACCATCAAAAGACATCACTCAAAAAAACTATAATTTCCTCGAGGCGAACTCATTTTGAATTTTCCAAATTTTCCATTTAAATTTCATCACATTAGAATTTTTTTTCTCATTGTTATCGAACCCTGGGGAATCAAAGCCTATGATACCACACCCTGAAAATTTCAATTTTTTTTCCGGAAAACTCACATTCTCAATTTCTCCATTTTTTCTGCCATTCGTTCGATCGGCCGAAGCACCAAATCATTTGCATCTTTCGAGAAGAACAATGCGCCTCCACCTGTAGAGAAAAAAAATACAAAATTTTCCCAATTTTTTCCCAAGTATTACCCAAAATAAGACATATGAAAATCGTTTGTATGATGTTGCGCACGGCGGAGGCCTTTGTAAATGGTCTCAGATCCATAATAATCTCAAAATGAAATTCATTTTTTTCTCCAATTTCCTTCGTCACTCCACCAACTCGCCGTAGAGACGAATACCGCGCTCTCTCCGTAAA